CATTTAGGGTTGATCAGGCAGGCAGGTGAGTAGTTAGGGGCAATCAGGCAGGCAGGCAAGCAGGCAAGTGGTTAGGAGTCAGTGGTCCCAGATTGCGAGGTGGTGCAGATCGGGCTGAGTTTCATGCATCCGGCTTCTAGTGTAATTTATAAAAGGTACTAAGAGGCCTGGTGCATGAATTTGTGCATGGGTGGGGTCCTGCTGGCCTGCCCAAATCAAGCCTGATCAGGGCCAGGCCACAGTGGGGGGGAGGGGGGGTTGGGAGAGGACAAGGGAGGTTGGCCAGCTAACTCCACTCCCGATTGGGCTGGTTGACTGGCTACAGTGAGCGTCATAGTGACTGGTTGTTATGGTTGTTCCACTCACCTGGCTTTTATATATATAGATGACAGGCACACCTTCCCATGGGCCATTCTGGAAAGCAGAAACATGTTTGTCATGAGAGGATTTCCAAATGAAATATTCATGGAAGGCGGAATATATCAGCATGAGGTGGGATGAGGTACAATTTCAGAAAGTCTTCTAGAATTTGGAGTAAAAATGGAATGAGAAAAAATATTCAAAGTGTAAGGGCTGTGCAGACATAGCTTAGAATCTGACCCTCAGAGTGAGGGATGAGCAGAGAGGAGAGGAGCAGGGATTGTAATGAGAGTTTCTAAGAGGGGAGGTCCAGACGCACAAATGGGACCTTCACACATATTTAGTGACACATCACAAACCAATCACTGAAGGATGCTGACACCTCAGTTACCTTGGGCGTTCTTGTGTCTTTTCTGAAAAAACGCTAGCTAGCCAGGAAATGTAATATTCATATTTCTATGAGAGAGGTAAAACGTGTCATTATGGGGCCAGACTCTTGAATAAGTGGCTTCATCTCATTACATTTCTGTTGTCAATGGGGATGGTGTGACCACATCTGAGGGTTGTTCTGAAGATCGTGTGAGATAATGCACATCAGGGACTTTACAGAACTCGTAAATGCCATTAATTACCACCATGTTGGAGCTCTGACATAAGGACTGCTGACGAGCACCATGCAAGGTAAACAGAGACGATTCTTACATAGGAAGAAGCAGAAAATAAATCTTCCTATAATAGTAAATGATGGCACATAGGAAGCATTTGTTAAATTCCAGGCATGTTCTACGTGCTTTACATATTTTAACACGCGTACTTCCCATTAAAAACCTGGAATGGTGCTCATTTTAGGCAAGAATGCCAAGGCCAGAGAAGTTGAATTACTTGCCCAATGCCATAGGTTGCTAAGTGACAGAGGCTCAATCCCACACAATGCGGTTTGTTCATATGAACTTTCTGACTCATGAGAGAGCTTGGGAGTAGCTGGCCCTTTATCATGGTAATGGATTGTTTACCATAGAAATCCATAAATTTAGACTGATATGAATAAAGGAACAATCAAGTGGGAAGAAAAACTTCTTTGCAGTAGAACACCAGCTAATATATTTTTTTAAATGATGAGAATCAGAAAACTCAACATTTGCAATCCATCATCATGATAAACAATTCAGGCAAGAAGGAAAAATAACGTGAAGGCCAGAGGTAAGTGCTGGGATATGAATGGGACATTTATACAGTCGCCAAACACCTCTAAGGACCCTTCCTGATTATTCAAAGAAGTATAACAATAGCTTCTGATGAGAGAAATCTGGTCCTCACCCTATGGATCAGCTGATCAAGTTACCAGCATCAGGAATGGGATAAGGCATCTTCATGTCCCTCCCGGTGGGAGAAGGAAAAGCAAACTTTATCACTTCCTGAATTTGCTTCACAAAAATCCATATCCTTGTTCGAATCATGAGGAACATGAGACACATCCAAACTGAATAATATTCTAACCAGAACCTTCTTCCATCTACAGAATGTGAAAGTCCTGGAAGTGACTGTACCACGTGGTGGCGGGTCCTGGCCGGGCCCTGGGTTCCACTGTGTTTCTGGAGGCGCGTTCCTGGGGCAGCTCCTGTTGGAATGAACACGGTGGAAGGATGAGCGGGGAGCAGCCTGGCTCATGGGGAGGGGAGGGGGGTGCAGGCTCACAGGGCTCTGGGGACCACGTGGGCTCAGGAGTTGGGATGAACCAGAGTTCTGGGGCGGAAGGGGACGTGTGTCTTCATGGCCCTGCCAACCCGGGGGCTGGTCCTGGGAACAGGCAGGTCCTGGTGCACCAGGCTCTTCAGCCGAGTCATCTGTATAAGTGGCTCCCAGCCCAAGGACCTCTGCCTGAGACCCTCAGCCCTGGGGGTCACGTCCTCCCTGCTGTCCAGAACACAGGGGGACAGCACGGGATTCAGCAGAGAGCTAGTCGCCACAGTAACTCCCGAGGGGGGTGCCCAGGCTGAGGCACAGCCTTGCAATAACCTTCCATGTGGGTGACCCAGTCATTCCTTTCCCAAATCCAGGGCGGAGCCCTTCAGCACCTCCTGACTGCACGGCCTTCTCAGGGACACGTTATTCACACACCGTCCCTGTGACTGTGCTTAGATTTCTTCTACAACACGTGTCCACTGGTTAAGCTTCAGTGTTCCTAGTCTGGGGCATATTTGACCATCTTTGTCTTAAAAGTATTCATTTGTAAAATGCATAGTTATTACATTTGATACAATCACCAACAGATTATGGCATTTTCTAGGGAGTGACTCTCTTTGAATCTTAAACATGTGTCAGTATGTTAACATCATGGACTACTAAGAGAAGGGAGATGCTCTGGATTCCATGGGATGGTAGGCTGCAACCTATGACCCTTCACTCCAATTTAATTCCGTGTCAAAAATAATGGAAAAGGCACTTTGGGAAATGACCATGGACTATGAGTTAGATGACAGTGTTGTACCAAAACCATATTTCTTTGGTGATAACGGGATTGTGGTTACTTGAGGAACATTCCTGTTCATTTGATAATAGTGTCATGAAGTCCACAGCATAGTTTCCAATGGTTCAACAGTGGTGGGGGGCGGGGGGGGGGAGACAGTTGTTGGGGGGTGGAGTGAAAATGAAACTGACAAATATTAATATATGCCAAATTGAGGTGAACAGCATTCCCATGCTCACACACTGTTTTTCCTGACCTCATTGCGGATTTGACATTTTTCAATATGAAATTCCAGGAGAATTCAATTCATAGCTCAAGGCAGATATTGCTTTGGGAGTATGAAATCTGCAATGAGTCACTTCATCGATGCCTAAATTTAAGTGATTCGTGTTTCAGAGACCGAATAGAGGAAATGGAGTGAACAGTTGGGGTCTGAAGTTTTCAGGGTAAGAAAAGAGACCCAGCAGTGGGATGGGGTTCAGTGTGGAAGAAGCTGTGTTTTCCAGGTTCGGGTGGAGTGATTCACAATCCGAAGACTTTAAAGACATGAACAAGCCGGTGTGAGTACAAACTAAGATGTGTGTTTGGGCTGTTAGTGGTGGCATTGACCTTCAGGTTAGACACATTAGGGGGCTGAGGACACCAACCAATTGTTCTCAACACATGGGTAAGGGGCTGGAATTGGAAATTTGCAATCACCAAAAATATTGCCTTATGAGTTTATAATTAGCTATTATCTAATTTGAGTTACTATCTGATTTATTTGTGTTCTACTCGTGTGACCTACCAAGTAAGAGAAATAGCGTTAACAATGTTTCCTAAAAAAAAAAAAAAACCCTGTTTCCTGAGATAGACAACAACCATTCAGTTTTGTCACAATATCAGGTGGAAATGAGAAGCTTCATGTGTAAAGTAAGGAGAGAAGCCAAGTCTTCACAAAAGGTGTGACTGTGAGGACCAGGAGCCTTCTTTCTGCGCTCTGACTTTCTGGATCCTAGTTCCTTCTGGAGCCTCATTTCCTTCCTGCTTCCAACCAGTGGACAGGAACAGGACAGGCCATTGTCTGACTCTACACATGCCTCACTCCTTCAGGGCCAACCCGAGAGCCAAAATCCCCACAGCAGGAAGATAATCCAAGTTTACAGACCCATTACTCACAGAAAAAAAGTGGGAAAGCAAATGACTGAGAGATACAACTGTGGACACGCACCAAGTACAGGACGGAGACAGGAGCATAAAATAACAGCAAATGCCTTGAACACCAAAGTCTGTGATGACTGTTAGAAAGCTGTCGAGTCAAATATCAATACAACTTCAAGGCACAAAAAGATAGTGAAGGGTGAGCAGGTGTAACCTCCTCAGCCTCTTACCTTGAGCAGCATTGGAAATAGGCCCTGATGATCCGAATTAGGGAATTACATTTCAGATTTCTAATCTAAAAGATTTCAAACAGGTGAAGTGTAAGGTGAAGAAGTACTTTGTGTAAGCAGTGTTTAAAGGTGATGTCCAACTAAACTGACAAACATTTCCTCCTTTATCCTAAACCCTAACGCTAACCTTAATGCTAACACTAACCCTAATCCTAACCCTAACCTTATCCTACCCCAACCCTGGCCCTAACCCTAACCTACCCCAACCCTGGCCCTAACCCTAACCTACCCCAACCCTGGCCCTAACCCTAACCATTACCCTATCCCAGCACAGCCCATGGCATCACTGCTCCCCCAGAGCAGAAAGTGAGGGCAATAAGGCTATCTCTTCCTCATGTCACAAACAAGGATTTGATAGAGCAACTGAAGTGAAGTATTGAAAGAAGGTGTTCCCTAAGTGGGCCATTGTTTCCTTAACTCAGGGAAAACACAAACGAGACACTGGACTTTAAATGAAAGTAACGCAAGCGTAGTGTTTCAGGTTGAAAGGCTTTATTAGGAAAACGGAGAACTGAGTCCTACATGAAGGTCAAGGGCAGGCCCTGCGAGAGCATTGTTCCCTGAGAGACCTCCTGGGACCTCAGGACGAACTTCCCAGGACCCACCATGAGTCAGACTCAGGAAGGAGAGGTGGGGTGTCAGCCCCGAGGGCACCAGGGCACGCCTTCTACAGGGCCCAGGGTACGTGGCTTCAGACTGGTGAACCCCAACGTCCAGGTGGGCAGATGAGTCTCCCACGTGTCCTAGTAGTAGCCAAAGCCACAGCCATAGCCACGGCCACAGCCATAGCCACAGCCACAGCCGGTGCCCCAGCCCCAGCCCAGGCCTCTGTAGCCATAGCCTCCATAGCCACAGCCTCCATAACCACAGCCTCCATAACCACAGCCTCCATAGCCACAGCCTCCATAGCCACATCCTCCGTAGCCACAGCCGTAGCCGCGGCCCCCGTAGTAGTTCCCGTAGTAGCCACACATGGTGCTGGTGGGGAGGGTGTCGTTGGGTGGAGAAGGGCTGGAGGTGACTTCAGTCTGGCCCCCTCTCCTCGCAGGAGCCTTTTATACCTCCTCCGCGTGGGCGGGACCCACAACACGAGGCGTGTCACTGGCTAATTCGCAGGACCCGTTTGGGTAACTTGTTGACTCCTGATTTGAGGCATGGCCCGGGGGGACACTGAGAATGTCTGTTATGGTTTAGCCACGTCTGACTCATCTGAGCGTCATTATAAGAATGGATCGTCTCATTATCAAAAAGCTGCTCACACCAGCTCCTCAAATTATCCATTTGTCACCAGCCTTATGGGAGACTACCATTCCCCATATACATTCACCTACTCCCATCAGCAGGTCATGAGAATCTACCTTTACCTGGCGTTTCTCCACCGCGTCCTTGCTGCTCCAAATCATTTTTGTTCCTTCAGGAATTCTCATTCTACGTGAGAGGTGGTTTAGTACGAAAAGCCCGAAGCTATAACTTCGCTTCATGAGACATTTGACAAAATGCCATCCGTCGCTGGAAATTCTGGAACAGCCATCCTGATGGACCTAACTCTGATAAAAAGGAATTCCTTTCTTGCGCGCATTCATGTTCCCTCTTATGTTTCTATTTTTAAAACCCCAAATACTTTTCCAGGGGTTCCACATTTACATCTGAATCTACAGCCAGAAAACAGACATGGCGACACCTCATTTATGGGACTGCACTTTCATGGAAGCGTTTTGTTTTGTTTTTTAAGTTTTCACCATAGTTGTGGTCTTCGTGTTCTGGCTACAAGGGGGTGTGAAGAGTATGAAGAATGAGCCTGGCAGTGACACCTAGTAGGTTTCACCAACAAATCCGGGTCCTGGATAGCACAGCTCAGACCGTGAGAATCTCACCGAGGGCCATGTCTGCATTGTGCCGAAGCTCAGAGCAAAATTCAATCATCGAGTCAAGTAGCTTCTAAACTCACATTCTTAGATGACTTTCTAGGTTCCCCAAGGGCACAGTGGATTCCAGAGAAAGTTCTATAATCACTCTTTGGGTTCAAGTTGTATCTCTGTTACTTATGGCTGTGCAACCACTATAACCAGGAGTCCCCGTGGCCTCATTGGAAATGGGCTGGTAACACCACCACCCACCCACAGGGTACTTCTGAGGGTTAACGTAGTCAATGTGTGTCAGGCCCGTGGACCAGGGTCCGGCATACAGTAGGGTCTACGATCATGCTTGTTCTTATTTGTGGGAGCCCCTTCCACGTCCCGCGTGGTTCAGGGTTCCTGTTCAGGGTTTGGGTTCAGGAGAAGGCTGCAGACAAATGAAAAGAGACTAGAAAAGAGTTAATTTGGGAAAATGGGGAAGGGGGGGGGGACAGGCAGGAGTCCACCTCTAGGGGGAGCACTACCACCGCTCTGGCCTCGCTATCCCTTTTATTGAGGCTATGGGAAACACCCAGATCCTTTTGGCAGGAAATTCCAATCATAGACAATCAGCAAGAATTTACATAGGATTAACAGGTGGAGATTGCTTTAACTACCAAGGTCTCAACTAAACAGTGAGTGAATAGCTCCGGCCACTCAGAGCCATTAAGGTTGACCAGCCTTCCGGTTTCCCTCTTTACGTTTCCCTATTAGTGATAGTGATCAGTTTCCAGCACTTACGATTTGGTTCATCCCATCACTGTTCCCCAGAGAGAAGCTTTGGTGGAGAGCCGCTGAGTGGGCCATCGGAACTCGGGCGTGCTCTGTCCTACTTCAAGGCTGAGCATCTGGAAGTGGGAGAAGGCCCTCCCGTGTTCCTGAGAAGGAGCAAGGCCTGTTGGCAGACAGAACGCAGTGGCCCCCACCCAATGGAGCCAAGTGCAGACACACTGACTTCCAGCCCAGCCAATGACCTCCTGGTAGAGAGCCTCAGGGAGCAGCCCACCCGAGCTGATGGGTGGGCAGAGTGGGTTCTGCTGTGGCCGTGGAGAGTGGAGACCGGCCCTGTCCCAGCCACAGACACCAGTGCTGGACAGGGAGGCTGCCCCTCAATGGCCCAACGCCTTCACCCCTGAACACACCTGCCAGGCTAACCCCACTTTAAGTCACGCCTCTGTGGGAGTCCCCCGTGTCGGCTAGGACTTCTCTCTGGAAGCTGTGTCCAACGTCACTGACACGGACCTCGTGTCCAGGCCCGTGGGACAGAGGGAGGCGGTGCCCGCTCTGAGAGCCTTGCTGCTGTTTTATAAACCTCCTTATGACCCACCATTTCTATTACGGAGTCCATTGCATATACGTATTCACTCACTCACTCGTCCTTTGTTCATTCACTCACCAGTCAGCTCCTCACGTAAGCCAGGAGGCTACAGAGTTAGGATTGACAAAGGGCGTCTCTGCTTTGCCATAAACTATGAGAGGCCATGCCTTGTTTTCTCAGCGTGTAGGAATTTGATCGGCGTGGCCCTACCGCACACTGGAATTGTTTCCAACGGCCTTCTAAAGCCGCCACGGTCTATGTCGCCAGAGAGAAGTCAGGTGCTAAGACCACAATGCCACAGGGAGAGTCCAGTGGTCAGCACCTTGGACAGCGCCCGGCAGCCTTAAAGGGCAGGATTAGCGTCTGTACAAAGGGAAGGGTCAGGTCTCCTCCATCCTCGTCCTCCATCCTGTGGCCACAGATCCCTGGGAGACAAGCCCACAACATCGACCCCTCAATGATCCGATAAGAGAATTGGACAACGTATCCTTAAAAACGACCCCATAGAACGGAGAAATCACTGAGTAGACGCAGCAGGAAAAGCATCTTCTAAAACACATTCCCGGAACACTCATTGCACAGTGAGTGTCAGCCGACTGGAGACACAGGACACGTGCCAATGCCGGGTTAGAAACACAACTCCGCCATGAAAATTAAGTTTAATTTAAAATAAAACCCTGAGCGTGTTCTCCCGCGGACGGAATTTCTCTCTCTACACGTGGGGAAGTGCACACAGTGTAGCCTCGAACCTACAAACATCGGTTCTGTGCACTCGCCCGCCAGCTCTGTGTCCTGGGCCCGCCCCGCTGCTCGCCTGCTGTGTGTGTTGCTCAGAAGCTCCAGCAACACCAGAGCCAACATCACTGATCATCAGGGAGATGGAAATTAAAACCACAACGAGGTACCACCGCACACCTGTCAGAATGGCTGCCATCAACAAATCAACAAACACAGAGTGCGGGCGAGGACGCGGAGAAAAGGGAGCCCTCGGGCCTGCGGGTGGGGGTGCAGGCCGGTGCAGCCTCTGCGGAAGACGGTGTGGCGTTTCCTCAGAAAATTATAGATGGAACTCCCATTTGACCCAGTGATCCCACTTCTGGGAATATATCCTCAGAACCTCGAAACACCCGCCAGAAAGAATGCATGCACCCCTATGTCCATAGCAGCGTTACTTACAAAAGCTAAGGTCTGGAAACAGCCGAAGTGCCCGTCAGCAGATGAGTGGATAGAAAAGCTGTGGTCCATCTACACCATGGAATACTACACAGCCGTGAAAAGGAGTTCTTATTCTTTGCAACAGAACGGAGGGGCCTAGAGAGCATGACGCTGAGTGGAATGAGCCAGTGTGGAATCCGATGAGCAAAATAGACACAGCCTGGATCCATGGCACAGACTGACAGCGGTCAGAGGGGCGGGGAGGGGGGGGAGGGACTGGATGAGAGAAGGTAAAGTGTCAGCCACAGAACAGCATGCATCCCCCACAGGCAGCATACAGGGGGCAATGCCAGAGGGTAAGGGGCTGGGGGAGGGGTGGGGACCCCTGTAATGGCGTCAGTGATAAAAAAAAATCAGTTAAAAATTAACGTGAGCGCCGAAACCAGTTTGGCTCAGTGGATAGAGCATCGACTTGTGGACTCAAGGGTCCCTGGTTGAATTCCAGCCAAGGGCATGTACCTTGGTTGCGGGCACATCCCCAGTGGGGGGTGTGCAGGAGGCAGCTGGTCGATGTTTCTCTCTCATCGGTGTTTCAAACTCTCTATCCTTCTCCCTTCTTCTCTGTAAAAAATCAATTATATATATATATATATATATATATATATATATATATATTTTTTTTTTTTTTTTTTTTTTTTTTAATCGACGTGAGCATTGGGAACGGGCCTCACTGTGATGGGAGACACGGATCTGCAGTCGGCCAGTGGATCGGGGCCACTCATCTCCGAGGAGCATTGTCTGGAGATGAAAAATCTTCCCTCCCGTGAAAGCAATTCATTAGGTTTATAGACGGGCTGCACACAGCGTTTCCGCCTGCCCAGCAGTGGGGAAACCGGTGTTTCTCTCCGGACTCAGAAAGCAGCCCGAGGCCGCACACGCCTTGACGTGCTGGAGCCGGAGCCCGGCCGGAGGGCATCCCGGGTGGACCGGGAGTAAGCGGCTGTTCCAGGGAAGAGACTTCCTCCTCCAGGCGGAAACGGAGGACAGGGCATTCCCTGAACGCCAGGCCGGGCGCACCCACCACCCGGGAGACACCGAGCAGCTCTGTGCAGACGGCACTGCCTGCCCTCACCGCCTGGGCGCCCGCCTGCGCTTAACTCTGCACAGAAGCTCCCTTGAAGAGGCGGCTCCCACCCGGACTCAGGGAGCCTTCCTGCTTCGCGATGGGGAGCAGGGGGTGTCCCTGTGGCACCCCAGGGTGGCCTGGTCACGGGTCAGGGCCTGGGATGGAGCCATGGGGTTTTAAAGTCAACATTTTACAGCTTCTAGCAGAGGGTCTAGGTTCCCATGACCAAGTGTAAATGTCCATGGACCCACTGGTGGACCCACATCACTGGGCATGAAGGGTGGGCACCCATACCCCCACCCCCTCACACCTACCCCTTCCCCCATGCCTCCTCAGGCCAGATAGCAGACTGACAGCAGTCCCCAGGGCAGGGCGGGGAGGAAATAGTGAAGCAATAAAAGTCCTCCTAGAGCCAAAACCAGTGTGGCTCAGTGGATAGAGCGTCGGCCTGTGGACTGAAAGGTCCCGGGTTCGATTTCGGTCAGGGGCACGTACCTTGGTTGTGGGCGTGTCCCCAGTAGGGGTGTGCAAGAGGCAGCTGATGCATAATTCTCTCTCATTGATGTTTCTAACTCTCTATTCCTCGCTCTTCCTCTCTGTAAAAAAAAAAAAAAAAAAAAAAAAAAAGAATAAAAAAAATTTTTTTTTTTAAAGTCCTCCTAGACCCAGACAAGGGCGTGGTGGTGGCCAGAGGGAGGGGTGGTGACCAGAGGGAGAGGTGGGGGGCAGGAGAGGGTAAAGGTGGGACAGAGGGTGCGGGAAGGACACTGGATGTGGGGTGGTGAACACAAATACCACAGACAGATGATGTACTCCAGAGTCACACCCCTGAAACCTATATAACTTTATTAACCCATGTCACCCCAATAAATGCCATAAATGTTTTAAAAATGATACAATAAATTAGAAAAAGAAAGTGCACAGAGCGCCTACCAAGAATCTTTCTTATTAAAAAATAAGGTGAGCCCCGGCCAGTGTCGCTCAGTGGATAGAGCATCAGCCTGCGGGCCAAAGGGTCCCAGGTTCGATTCCGGGCAAGGGCATGGACCTTGGTTGCAGGCTCCTTCCCAGCCCAGGCCAGGCTCATGCAGAAGGTAACCCATCCCTGTGTTCCTCTTTCTCTTTCCCTCTTGCTTCTGCTCTCCCTAAAAAACAATGCAAAAATGTCCCTGGGTGAGGATGAACCGACATAAGAAGAATGACCAGGATCACATCAATGCTCCACAGCTACCGGGAAGACTCTAAAAGTGTGAGAGCTAGAGGACATGGGGGGACAGGAGCCACGCTCACATATGAGAATGCAACAGGACAACAGTACGGCTTCCTCAAACTATAACAGCATGAAAGAAAGGAGTGAGGGAAATACTATTAGAATTTCAAAAAGGGTTAAGTGACATTATATCTAAGGGGAACATGAGTCCCAGGGTGGAAAAAAGTTAATCTACCGAATAAAAGAGTAGCATGCTAATTGACTGTACCTTCACAACACCCACCAGCCAATCAGGAGTGTGTATGCAAATTAAACCAACAAAGATGGTGGGCAATTTGTATACACAGGTGCCGAGTGGCCTCTGGGCAGTGTGGGAAGGCAGAGAGGCTGCTCCGGCCAGAGTGAAGGTGGTGCCAGCAGCCAGGGGAAGGAAGGCCCATTCTTGCACGAATCTTCATTCCTGCATGGGGCCATTAGTTATAAATGTACATGTGAGAACCAATCAAGGAGCCTGAGCATGAACTAAGTGTTAGAGGATTCTAAGAAACTGCTTCTGAATTTATGTGTGATTATGGGATTGTGGAGAGATAGATGAGATAGATAGATAGATAGATAGATAGATAGATAGATAAGAGATAGATATAGAAGATAGATGATAGATAGATAGATAGATAGATAGATAGATAGATATAGAAGATAGAGATAGATAGATAGATAGATAGATATAGAAGATAGATATAGATAGATAGATAGATAGATGATAGATATGAATGATAGATAGATGATAGATAGATATAGATAGATAGATAGATAGATAGATAGATAGATAGATAGAGATGGAAGATGATAGATAGATAGATAGATAGATAGATAGATAGATAGATAGATAGAATGTTTTTAAAACTCACTTTGTGATACAGATACACACTGAGCACTTATAAATATTGTCTTGGGTTGGTTTTTAAATATTCAGCAGAAATAACAAGAGTAAGGAGAAAGCACACTGGGAGAAGAGGAACTAATGTGGAATAGTGAGTTATTAGATCCTGACGATGAGCTTATAAAGATCCAAAATGCAGCGCTATGGCCTCTCCTGCTGCACGGAACGGGAACGCACTGATTGAAGCAGACGATACCCGGGGAAGGCCTCCAGCCCCTCCAGCCCCCCGCCCCGTGCGCTCTGTGGAGGAGAGGGTCCTCCCGTGATCTATGTGTTGTAACAAGAGGATGGAAAACTCAGCGTTTGGGAAGCTGGTCGATGATGACACTTCAGGCTTCATGAACAGAGGTGAGTGAGGGTTATAAAGTGAGAACAAGAGAACACATCAGAGGCACAAGCTTTTGTCACAGGAATGCTGACTCAACGGCAGTCCCCTCCCTTACGCGGGCCTCCCATCGTCTAATAAAGCCAAGATTCGGGATGTGCACTTGAGAAAATTAGTAGGAAATAGGTCGTAAACAATCCTGCAGTGTGTCCCGCCCACAACAGAGGCGCGTATAAAAGGACCGTGGTCCATGGGGATGCTCAGACTGAGGACACCTTCTTCCTGCTCGTCCATCAAACCCTCCCTCCTGAGACCATGAGCTACTACACAGGCCTGGGCTACGGCCACAACGGCGTGAGCTGCGCCTACCGTGGCTGCGGCTACGGCGGCCTGGGCTATGGCTATGGCTGCGGCTACGGCGGTGGCTATGGTTGCGGCTACGGCGGTGGCTACGGCGGTGGCTACGGTGGCCTGGGCTGCGGCTACGGGTGGGGCTCTGGCGTCTACGGCTACGGCGGCAACCGCCCATCTTGCTGCAGAAGGTTCTGCTTGTATGGGTGCTACTGAGAAGCTTCCAGAGAAACCCAGCCAGCTGGTCCACCCCAGCCACCAGCATCCAACCACAACCTCCCTCCGAGCAATCCCAACCTCATCCTCGAGCTTCTGGAAGGAACCCATCAGAGTCAAGGAAATGGCCCGGAATGTTCCACGACTTTCTGGAAACCTTCTCCTTGGCTGTTTTATTGACTTTGGGATGCTGACATTTTTAATCAATAAGTTTCCTGCAAGAGAAGTTTAAATTAATCTTAATAAACATCTCGTTGCCATGTTAATTTCTTGCATTTAAATTGATTTTTCTTCATTATTTGTGTGAGTGTTGGGATGTTGGCAAATGGGATGACGTGAAGGTTAATTCTATCTGTCACCCGGCTGGGCCCAGGGAGCTGATAACACGTGGTTTTGGGTGTGTCTGGGGGAGGGAGGGAAGGGTCGGAAGAGATCTGCACTGGAGTCAGTGGATGAGTGAGGAGACACCCTCCCCGGTGGGTGGGCAGGAGCCACTCCCTGAGGCCCAGGGACAGAAAGGCAGAGGAGGGCAGCGTGTTCTGTCTGCCTGAGGCAGGACACCCACCTCCTGCCCTGACGGCTGCGGCGGCTCCCAGGTCTTTGGGTTCAGACTGAATCGTGTACCTGATTTCCTGCTTCCCGGGCGCCCAGGTGGCCAGCTGGTCACGGGCCTCATGGCCCCAGGTTGATGTGAGCCCATCCTGTACCAACACCCCCCCCCGGGACAGAACAGAGGGGGCGTCTATAGAGCCCCCTCCTGTTTCTCCGGAGAATTCTGACTCACACAGGTGGGGAGGAGGAGGAGGAGAGAGAGAGAGAGAGAGAGAGAGAGAGAGAGAGAGAGAGAGAGAGAGAGAGAATGAAAGAGAGAGACTAGAGGAAGGATGAGATAGAGGGAGGAAGGGTGAGAGAGAAAGGATAAAAGAGAGGGGGAGGGGAGAAAGAGAGGAAGGAAGAGGGAGAGAGAGGAAGGTTGAGAGAGAGGGAGGAGGGGAGAGAGAAAGGAGAGAGGGTGAAAGAGGGAGGGGTGAGAGAGAGAGAGAGTGAGGGGGAGGAAGAGAGAGAGGGAGAGGAAGAGGCCCTGGCACATCCCAAGGTGACAGTGATGCCGGAAAGACCAGAACGTAACCAACTCCGATGGAACGTGTGCTTCCTCTGGTTCTTTCTCCACTTCCCCCCCCCCCACACAACCTGTTCCCGTCTGACCAGCCAGCGGCCTGGCACGGAGCCCAGCCGCGGCCACACCCAGCGCCAGCCACACCGCAGGGAGCACGTGGGCCTGGGAGGCGGGGAAGGCTCGCTCTCCCATTAAGCTGTGCTTCCATCAGCTCCTCATGAGATGGCCGTGGGGATGCCTGCCGGAGCCCGCATGACCGTCCCAGGAGGCGGTGTCCTGTGGGACGGCCACTCACGAACATCCGGAGGAAAGGAGAGGAAGACAGACGGCAGTGGCCCCTGGCAGCTCTCCCGGGAATCTTTGGTCCACCCCCCAGGGGACCCCTGGCCCCTTCCCTCCCTGCAGATCCCACGGGGAGCGGAAGGGAGGGTGCGTGGGCAGTGACAGTGGGGGAGGGAGGGACGGTTCTGGCCTGTCCATCTCGCCTGGGAAAGGACCCGGGTGGGAGGGCGGGGCCGCTGCAGGTGTGTGAAGTCAGGCGGAGTCCCCGCGCTCTTGCTCACGCTGGCCTTGTGGTTCTCCCTCGCTCTCTCCTGTTCCGTGGCCTGCACTCCCCATGTGTAGGCTTCAGCAGCCACGGGGCCGTGGCTGGCAGCCCCACCCCCATGGGCAGCTAGGAGCTCAGGCTGAGCCGGTCAGAAGCTGGACTTCAATGCGGAGCAGAGACCGAGGGCGGTGGCCTCGATCCTGGCCCCCAGCGGGCACGGCTGCACTTCTCCCTCGGCCAGAGGCAGAGCTGGGACCCTGACAGGGATCCCCTCATGTTACACCAACAGCCACGCTTCCCACGAGATCCCATCCTCCCAGGGGCCCCTGGGGAGCGCTCCCCCTCTCTCCCAAGGCACCGAGGACTCCCCTCGCCCTGACGGCAGCGATGTCCATCCTGGTGAAGACCGGAAACGCCCAGCCCGCACCAGCGATTGGAGGAGAGCACACTGAGGTTCATCCCACAAGGGAGCATGCCCACCACGAACACAAGCCACTTCCACGAAAGCCCACACATCTCAGGTCAGAAAAAGCTAAAGGAGCACGTCACCACCAAACCAGTACTATATGAAATGCTAACAGGTGTTCTTTAAAAAGAAAAAAAGAAAGAAAGTAAAGATAAAAATATGAACAACAAATACATATCTGTCAACAAGTGAATCTAAAAAAATGAATTAAAAATCTGAGGAACAGAATAAACTGGTGAATAGAATAGAAACAGGGGCATAGAATGGGGAGGAATTGATAATTCTCAGGGGGAAAGGGGTGTCTGGGTGGGGGTACAGGAAGAGACTGGACAAAAATCATATACCATGGACATTTACTTTATTCAGTTTCTTCGTAAGGTGAAGAAAACTGTAAGTGTCCTAGAGAAATATAGTAGCTTTCTGTTCACCCTTTGCAGGTAAAAAGGGTGGATCGTTCCACTACTGACATGTAAAAAAAAAAAAAAAAAATTATATACCTAAGGATGAGGACAGCGGGGGTGAGGGGAGGTAAGGGCAGAGGGTGGAGTGGGGACCAGGTGGAGGAGAGCTATGGTGGGGGATGGGGAGGAGGAAAGGAGAAACAATTGTAATAATCTGAACAATAAAGATTTATTTTTTTTTAAAGTGCACACATATACAATCACAGTGCGAGCAAATGGCACGGTAAGACCAGTGTGTCCCGGGGAACTCACTCTGTCGAGTGCGAAGACGGAGAAGCAGATTCATGGCTGCCCACAGAGTGAGCAGTGCCCGGGCAGGGTGGGCGGGAGGCAGGGTTGGTGTCAGGAAGGCAGTGTCCCTCCGGGCCCTGCAAGGAGTCTGTGTCCCGGTCTGAGTGCTGGGCCCGGGGCTGGTTAATCTGTGAACCTTCACCTATTTCTGCGGGAAATGGTTTATAGTCTTTTCTGTGTGCATTTCGAGTTGCTGTAGAATTTCACGTTAAAAAATGAAATGGCGCTTGGTTAGTTTATCATAATCCTCAGAAAACTGGAACGTGGGGACTGGTTACCCATAAGGGAATGGGAATGGCGAATTTGTCAGGTTTGTAAGACTCAATCCTTCCTCCTTTCCATTCCCGCAAACTCATTACATACAATTTGCATCATCGAGTGCGGGTCTAACTTGAAATGAGGATTTGTTGGCAAACACAAACATCTGGAAAATGGCCTTTATGTTTTATGACCTCTCTTTTAACCTGGACGTGTTTATCGCCAAATATAGAATTAGGAACATTTTGACAGTAGGGGAGAAATCGCTCTTTAAACGCGTAGTATGTATTTCTGACAATGTTGGCATTGGAGCAGAGTAATCTTTCTTTACATAATCCATCCAGACACTCAAAACTCCTCTGCCCCTCAGGCCCGCACACCTGGCTCCCACCAAAGGGGTCTATCCTCACGCTGTGCCCCCGCCCCGTCCCGGGAACCAGTCCCACATGCTCTCCAGTGGAAGTTGCAGACCAGCGCCACCTGCTGCCCTCACCGCTGGGGCCTCGCTGGGGCCATGGTTGGCCAGGACACGCTGCCGCCACAGGGTGCTGTGGTGGGGAAGGATGCTCTTAACAGATTCAGATAAAAGAAAATTCAGGGTGCGTGCATGGATTCTTACTACTCCTCTGCCAAAGATACTTCTCCATTAATTTTTAGAGAGTGGAAGATGAGAAAGAGAAACATCGATGTGAGGGAGACACACTGATTGGTTGTCTCCCCATGCACCCTAACCAGGGCTGGGGATGGAGTCTGCAACCAAGGTGATCGGGATTAAACCTGAGACTCTCTCTGAGCCAACCCAGCCAGGCCCACTCATGAATTTTTAAAATCTCGGTAAACAAGACCCAGAAAATAATTTCCATAATTTGATAAATGGCCTCCACAAAAAGCCTACAGCTCATAGATCACACCTGGCACAGAAACAGAGAGTAATTTCCCCCTGTGGGAGGAACGAGAGGCAGAGCAACAACGGGGCACTGACTTCCAGGAGGAGAGAACACAGCAATGCAAGGACGCCACCACCAACGGGAACCCGTGTGCTGGGGGCTCGTGCGGGCGGGCGGGGCCGGAGTGAGACACAGTGGGAGACAAACTGGACTTGAAAACACTCATCTTTCCAGGAAGCACAGAGCTGACACCTGCTGGAATAGAAAAGAGAGCAGGCACAGGCCTGCGTGCAGCCGGCAAGGCATGTGTTCAGGTTTCATATCAACCAATGGATTTGCTTATTAGATGAAGGATTTCTCATTTTGAGTTCTAGAATAAGCAGCGACTTGCAAAACACTCTTTTTTCTAACTGGACGTAGAATCCTCACCTTGCCACAGGGTCCCAGCTCCATCCTAACCCTTTTCCTTCCTACGGACCCGAGTCAGCCGTTGAAATGACATGGATTAGTGTATGGAATTAGACATGGCACCTGGGGGTTTCCTTTTTATAAATATGTCTTTATTCATCTCAGAGCTCTTCGCTTTGGGGTGAGAGTCACAGACGGGGAATTCCACCTGGACTCAGAGGGGTCATTCCAAAGGTCCAGCAAGGTCTGCCTGGGGGTTAGCAACAGGAGGCCCTGTAGACAAGTGGCTAGTGGCCCAGCCATAGCCATAGCCATAGCAGGACCCGTATCCACAGCCAGAGCCGCAGCCAGAGCCAGACAACAGTATGGTGAGGGCCAGAGGAAAAGGGGTGGGGGAGTGGAGGGCAAGGGGGAGGGACAAAGGGGGAGAAATGGGGACGGAAAGAGACTTTGTGGGGTGATGGGTGCACGACGCCATGTGCAGATGGTGTCTTGTTGCATTTACACTTGAAAACTATGTGGTTGTGTTGACCAGGGTCGCCCCAATACACTCAATAAAATAACT